GGTATATAAGCGGAACTGCGGCTCACCGCTGGCAGTTGAGTTCTAAGTCTAAAGCGATTCGGAAGAAAAGGAAGAAGTGAGAAAGAAGAAAAGTGAGTGAAATAGTGAAGTGCAGTGAAATAGTGAAGTGCAGTCACTTAAGTGAGTTAAGTCAGCGTGAACGGCAAAGTTGTGTCAGTCGGCCGGACTCTGCTGGAGAGGAACGCCGATAACTTAACTCCGTGGACGCTGTAACTTAAGTGCAATAGAAAGTCTGAAAACCGGTGTTAGTGTTTCATTTCATCCAATCCCGTAACCCAAGCCCGCATAGTCAGGAACGTGACGGCAGGCACGTAACAATTGTTTACCGGACTTGCATAAGGAGGGTTATGTTTATCATTAATCTGAGAGATTATGATTATGTTTATATTTTGAACAAGTTCTGTAGTCTTTGTTGATCGCAACTGCCCAGGTTGGAAAAAGCAATCTTTTCTTTGCGTATTTTTTTTTTGCCTGCTTTCATATTGTTTATTTTCGAAAGCTTTTATTTTAAACTTCTTCACGCTATTGACTACTTCTACCATTGTGTCACACTGCAGTATTACAAAACATAGCTAAAAAACATTTGTTTTGCTCAAAAACTTTGGCAGTTACCCAGCTATTGCGTTCGCACGTGGACAGATCTATTTATTTTCATAGGCGTTGCGTTATCAGACGAACTTTATTTCGATTGCGTAACAAACTCAGACATAACAACAAAGGAATTTGTACTCATAAAAAGGCCAAAACATCTCATAACTTCTTCAGAATGCTTTCTTTCTCAAAAGACTAAGTATGCAGACATGCGCATTCTAATTATATCCCCCATTTTTGCCATTTATGAAGTCTCAAGGGGTGAAAAAATTACCACGACTTTAATCTATTACTGAAAAGTCCCTAATCAGTAATTCAAACTGAGGTTCCTTACACGTAGTGACGTGTGTGAAAATACGATCAATAAATTAAAAAACATCGATCCCTACCAAAACATTCGCTAATCGATAAACTGCATTCGACACGATTTAATCCAAAACGTAGGACATTAAAAATGCAACCTGTTTTGTTAAATGGCGTCTCGAGGCCGAGAACGTTCGTTGACCCCGCACTGTTATGTGGGAACTTTATGTACTTTAGTATTGCAAGGGTTAGTGCACTTGCGATAGTGGAAAACTTTTAATAGAGCTGTTCTACTGGACTATGCCGCACATTCGTCATGTCACTAGAGAATGCGACAAGCTATTCCGACGATTTGTTTCTTGTTTGCTTCTCAAATTGGGTATGTGGAATTTGCTTTGAGAGTTTTACTTTATTTTGTTGAAGCAGTTGAAAATTTCATTCGCAGCTTTGTATTCCTTTTAAAAAAAAAAAAAATTTTCAGAATAAGGCTAAGAACTCACGGAGCGATTTTGAACCGTGCCCGCCGCGGTAGCGGAACTGCGGTTTTATTTCCAAACTCACGAGACCGGTTATTTGCGCGGTTACACAGCCGCCGCGGTTGCGATCATCGCCCGCAAACGTGGCGGGCGATGATCGCAAGATTGCGTTATATTTACTTCACAGAAGACCCGCCGGCCCCCGCGGTCGCTCGCCAACCGATCGCAAAGCGCGCGGGTGCCACCCGCCGAGGCTGCGGGTAACCGCGGCCCGCGCGATTCTACTAGTTGCCCGCCGGTACAGCGGGAGCCGCATACAACCGCGTACACCGCGGGCGTAAAACGCGTCGTGAAATGTGCTTTAATTTTTTATATAAATATTTGAATTCTACAGAAGCTGCGGGCCCGCAACCGCAGCGGACGCGGGCGAAAATCGCTCCGTGAGTTCTTAGCCTTAGTGTCTAGTATTGGCTGGTTGATTTTTGAAAGTTTGAGCAGATTGTTTTTGGTTTTAGGATACTAATTCGAAACGCAAAATGCAAGAGCAACAACAGAAAATAGATAAAATTAGAAGATTTTTGCTGAGGAGGTTTTGACGAGGAAGACCGTACCTACTCTAAAATTGACCTCTCAAGACCTGGTATTGAACCTGATTGTCCTACTATCATTCGGAAATCGGTAACAAAACACGGTGCAAGAGACAACCCTAGTTAATACTGATCGCGGCAAATTCCATTAGCTGGTCTCGATTTGACATCGAACTGGTGTAAATTGTGTAATGAATTGCCTTCAGAGCGAGTGCGGGCTTCTGTGACGTACACAGAATACAAACATGATTTATGAAGCTGTTGACTTTTAATAATAGAATTGCTCTGGATACTCATGAAGTAGTTAGAAATGTACTACAATGTTAATACTAAGGTCAAACAAATATTGGTGCAATAAAAAAAAAACTCGGCTATCATTTTAATGGAGGTTAATTGGAAAGTGCTAATCTTTTACTATAATTAAACACGATACCGTAAAACTCTTTTGTATATGTGTCCATGTATTATGACTTAAGGAAGGGTTGCAAGTCTAAATGTGTGTAGAATTCAAATTTTGGAAGAACAGTGGAAAGTAATAATAAGAGAATAATCAGATCAAGTTGTTATGGAATTATGTAAAAAGAAAACAATAATGAAATAAGATAACAATGAATTGGACCCAAAACAAGGCAAGAGAGAACAGCACATTGAGAAAAAACCATCTTGGCCGAGTACCAGATAACTTCATTACAATCCAAGTATTAAATTAATGGAACTACCCACAAATAAGTACTTACTTTAATGTAATAAATGTTCCTACATTGATTGGATGAGGGACCGAATGAATGGATCGTTGTTAGCAATGGAGCCTTGGCCTTAACATTATGATAATTTTATTGTCCAATACTACATTGAGATGGTCAAGACGTAATTCACTGTAAAACCACAATTATATAAGTGATTTAGTAGATTTTATACTAATTGTTGAGAAGGGCTGTTTAGAAACTTACACTATCTACTGATTTTTGGTTGTCACAAAGCTAACTAAAGCGGTCACTATATATAAAGAAGCTTCAAAAAGTGAATATATGCACAATTGATGCTGTATGATTGTCCACTATTCTTAGGTTCTGTTTACGTTTAATTGCACTATCACAGAAACAATATCGCAGAACATCAAAACAGCAATTTACAAAAGACCAAAACAAAACACAACAGATTTAAGAGAGCTCCGTAACTGCGTAAAAAAAATTTTTGTTCAGAATTGATGTTCAGGGAAAACCCAAGCAGTGCCGTATGAAATTTCGAAACAAGGAAGTCGAAGAATAACCGGTTCCGTCCAGTTTTAGGCAGATTTGGGAAGAAGTATTTCAATTTTGGGAGAACTAGTAGGTTTTTTATAACACCATAGTGCACCAAAATCCGGTGAATTATTTGTAACCAATTGCTGCATAGGTAACAGAAAAACAGGTTCAAGATTTTTTTTTCTGTCTACATTATTTTTACATATTAATCGCTAAATAGATAGTACGCCTTTCTACATTCTAACAAACAATAACGAAATTTAAGTAACTTGTGTATTCAACATTTTAGAATAAATAAATAAGTTTTCCTCAGATCATATCGACAGAATATTCTGTATCAGCGATTCAACCCTAATTCTCTTTAATTGATGCGTCAAGATGGCGCCTTTAATAAATTGCGTCGAATTCTCAGGTATGCTCATAATAAACATAAAAATATATTTATAATATTTTTTAGCAATTTCATTCTTATGACAGGTCGCATAAGGTAGGTTGTCGCAGTCAAAACTTCGTAATACTACAAGTTTTTATAGTAAGCATTATTTGGAATGAAACTGTTGATTGTGTCGAAGTCAAGTTTTTTCTAACGCTTATTACATCGACACAATTTTTTAGTTTATTCATGAAAAAAAACGTACCAATCTAATGACTTTTTGTGTGTCAAATTAAAAGTACCACATCATCACAATTTATAAAAGTACAAATCAATTATTGTTACAGTCTAAACAAGGAAACAACCTCCAAAGAAAAAGAAATGCAAGGAACACCTGTGCAAAGCCAGGGCACACCGCTAGTTCAACCAAAAGCACGTGATTCCTAAGCTAAATGTAGCACGATGACCCGAGACATGATGTGATGGCTAATATGACATTAAATTTCACACACGCTCGATAATTATCAGCATTCGTTTTCTTAGCGACCCACTTCAGCTAGAAGTAGGTAGCCTTGTAGAACCCCGAGTACATACGTAATTTTTGTCATTGTCGGTAATTTTTCATTGATGAAAAACTAACATTGGTGTGTAGATATTTATATGAATAAATAGGTGTAAAAAGAAATTGCTTTATTTGTCTTATTTTGGACTAGACATTTTTAAATTGGAATCTCTAAATAAATCGAATTAATTAAAATAACGGATTAACGGAAGCTAGATTTCAAGTCTCAATATGATATTGAAAAAAAAATAAGTCCCCCTTGTGACACTGATGAGAAAGTTCATTATGAAGAAAGCAATATGATAGCAACAATGCGTGAGAGATTAAACTTCAACAGGATATGAGTGCACAACACCAGACATCTGGTAACACTAACACGGTTCAAAACGATACAACCAAAATAGAAAGAGCTGTCATTGTTTGCAGTGTTATTAAAGTTATGTGTTTTTCTAAGGATCTATTGATGTTGGTTATATCGAAAGAGTTATAAAACTGAATACGGAGGCAGGGCAGTGACGCAATACTTAGTGTGTTATACTGCTCATGTGAGGGTGCGGAAGACAGAAATAGAAGCGCACGAGACTTCTATCCGTTGCCGTCTAGAGATGGTTTTTTAAGCTTTTTGTTTCCACATAAATTGTAGCTAGCCAATGTAATACTGGACGATGTAAATTTTCCGTTTTATTATTCGTACAATACAGTGTCTGTTGCTTATAGTTGAAGCATTCGTTGTATATTAACGTAGGAACTGAAGATGTTTCTGAACGTTAGTTCATGGACGTAAGTCTTTAATAAAAAGATCGTGAATGTTGTAAGTAGCTAAATAATTGTTGTGAAACTTACGTTAAATTCTTTTCTAATGGCTGGTAGTATGGCTCCGTTGGATAAGATAACACCATCAACCATGAAATTGCAGCAGAACGAGGCAATCATGACCACCCATCCCCAGCCGCCATCTGGAGGTACGACCTGAAAGGGAATAAAAAAGAAATATAAAATCAAATTTTAAAAAAAGATGAAAGTCAAAATATATTACAAAAATTTTTGAACTCAGAGTATTATATAATTCAATGTAGAAGAAAGAGATACACCAGTAGAGAATATTGTATTGGGTTGGTTGAATAACCAATGATTATTTTTTGAGTGCAAAATTATGCTAACGACTCGCCTGCTCCTTTTTTAAAACAAGGAGCTAATAAAGTCACTTATTTCTTAATATTACTGACTAGTGATTACAAATAGTTTAGATGTTTACTCAAGAATGAAATGATACTTCACGATATCTTCTTTAGTTTTGGTTGTCTTCTCATCACCTTTGCCTTTTCTCTTTAAAATATCTTCTAGACAAACAGTTATTTTATCTTTCATTGTAATTTGTGAATACTTCCAATTTATTGGCTGTGTTGTTTTAATATTTTATGCTACTGAACTGTAAAAACTGGACTTTTAGTTTAATAATTTTGTCAAACTGTCAATTTGCACCAATGAGTTTGAAAGAAAGAGTAGGTATGTCCACTATGCCCATGACATTTTATCATATTATCCTTGTAGGTATGACCAAGGAGGCTTTAAAATAACCATTCACAGCAAAATATCATCACGCAAACGATTTTAGGTATCACACCTTTATCATACAACAGAGATTAGGATAATGTTTCCGCATTTGCGATGTGGATTTCTCCGAAGCATGAAAAATATTGTCCTATCCCAGTATTATCATAAAAATACTTTATTAATATACTGGCTTTTAAATCATTCTTCTCTGTGATGGCTATTAATATGATAGAATAATGCTTAAGTCGGCAAAAACTGGCCGAAATATTCCATGACCTCTTTTGAAGAGAGTGATGACAATGAACTCGACATGTGATACACTTGACCGCTACAGCCATCGGTTATTGGTACCATTAGTTATCAATTAGCAAATTAATATGTGGGACATAGAAAAGTCTGAGTGTACAAAAAGTTTTATTTAACTAAAATATACAAAAGTTGTGACCTCAAATCAAATTTATTTCTTCGGGACGAAGCTTCTTTCTCTTTGGGGCATGAAAATGATGTATCAGTGAGTTTGGTATTTCGAACATTCTGAGAACTTTTTTCTATTTTTATTGAAATAATAATTAAGGCAAATGAACACTCAGCCAGGAAAGTAGTATTTTGAAATAAGACTACTTTATATAAAACTCGATAAGGCCAGGCAATCTAATATATATCTTTCCGATGTTATTCTGTTTTCAGTTTCAGGGTCCATCTTCTGTACTTGTAGAATCTAGCTTTGCGGACAGTATTCAGCAAGACAGTAAAATATACGTTCCAAACACAAGTGTGGCCCAAGCTAATGCATCTAGAACCACTTCGGCTGTTCTCTGAACTATCTGTTTCCTTCTTCGCCACAGTCTGTTCAAAGCCATTGTTACTTAGGTTTAAGTCACTGCCAAAAGTTACAGCAAAAATATTAAGACTGTCATAGTAATCTCAGCTAAAGCAAAAGAAATTGTAGCTAGAATACAAGCGTTTATCGCACGTTCAGCGACCTTTCGTATTATTCTTTTCCTTCTTAGCTTCTTTTCAAGGGCTGACATTGTAGTTTAGGAGTACACTGGAATTCTTCTAACTTTTTTTCATACCTGGCTTTATTACAGGGACATGGTCAATATATTTACGTGTGAATTTCCTCGCAGCTGCAGACACTAATACATTCGGTTTTAACTTCTATAGCATCTGTCTGACATTGAGTGGCTGTCCTGCAACACAGTCCAAAGCTACTACAATTCACTCGTTCAAAACCCGATAAAACCAAGCATATGTGTAAGCCAACTATTAAAGATATACATGTGTTAATATATGCCAGTTTTAACATATCCAGCTAGTTGGATAAACGGGGACATCTCGCTTCGCCCCATTTGATCTGCTTGGTCTCAGTTACATAAATCTGTTGGCCATGTACGTATATTTTTCACTGTCACAAATGACACTGAAATCTTTTCTTGTCATATTTATTATTTTTTCTTTAACTATCGTCTCTTGACTATGCGTCAATACAATGAGGTTTAAATTTGGATGTTGATAACTGTTTTGTTATAGGAAGTGTTGATAGCTTTTCGGACCCTTTTATACGCAGGACTAATGAATTAGACGACAATCATTTTGTGAAAAGGTGCTAAAAATACAATGTGCAATAATATGTGCAATAACTTCAAAGACATCGGAAAGAAAGTTTTCCAATGATTTAAACATAAAAAAAGTTTTTATCATAAATGGGAGTATAATTACCAAAGCTGCTGCCGGTTCTTCTTCGCTAGGAGTTTCATCTGTGGATCCCGTTTTAAAGGGCCGCTCATCCGTCGCTACTCGTTGCTTCATCGTGTTTCAATCCTGTAACAATATAATATTTCTGTTAAGTAAATTTCAACAAGAGTTTTATTAACAGTATCTAATCAGAAAGTGTTTAAAGGCTAATCAAGGAAAAGTAAAGAACATACATAGTATATCGTAATGGATACATATTAAGCTTATTAACTCTGCATACTGGCTGTTTCAAATTGTCTCCAAATTATACAAATAAGTTGCACAATTTAAAATTTAACCCAACAACTTTGATGATGCATAATCGGAAGGGAATTCGATATGATGTGTCCAATTACTTAATTGAATGATTAAATGGGTTAAGACGTGCGGGTATATACAAGTCACTTTGCTGTTAATGCACTCAGGATTATCGGACATTCGGACTCGAAAGAGTCGCCGTATGTCTAGGAGAATATCTGTAGCGTAGACTAATTGATATAGAAGAGAAACAGTAGAATCATTAAATATGTGTTAAATTCGTCAACTACTTGCGTACTATTGACGAGACCCAGGTCTGTATGTTTGAAATAAAAAATGTTTATTTAGTTAGACTCTTTTATTTTAATAGAATCATCGACGATCTTGTAATTACATTTGCTTGGTGTAGGTATTGGCACAATCGCTGCCTTTGCTCATCAAGTCTTTGGCGGTATACAGAAGTTTGCAACCGTCATAAAATTAGCTTCATTTTGTAGTCTATGCATACGATCTTACATCTTAATCCGATCTAGTATGCAACTTGAATAATGAAAACTTTGTGTTTCTACCCACAAATTGACGCCTGCGCAAAATTGTATGAATTGCAAATATAGGTATTATAATTACAAGCAAAATGATGACATTACGTTGGAAATTCATGTTTATCAATAAAGATAATACTTCCGATTCAAGTTGAAATATGTAAACTTAAAATGAAACTTGAGACAATTTTATTAGCCCACTAGCCTTTTCGCACTATATACTATACATAGGTACAGTCTGAAAGAGACGATTTTGTATTTTTCCTCTCTTACTTAACTTAACTTGATACTTAAGTAGATTAATAACTAAGTATATTTATGTAAAATATTAGTTTCCGAAAAATTGACATTTCAAGTTTTCTTTACGACCCACATAATATCGAATTGACAAACTAGATAATAAGTAATAAAATTAGTTTATTAAACTGTGTATTGTGTGATTTGCAAGATATTCAAAGAAAGATTAAGCGAGCAAAGAAAAGAGAAAATATATGTACGTCATCTCTGATCAGTTTTGAAAGCTTAATCTGAATTTTATTAACTTCTATTATGATCTTAGAGTGAGAAAAAATAAAAGTTATTTTAGTAAATGACATATTACCTTCCCAGCTATGTATCGCAATAAACATAAGTATGCATTTATGAATAAATAAATAAGTAAACGATTTCAATATATGCGAATGCGTAGTTGTGTAGTCTGCGTAGTTACAATAGTGTGAAACAACCGGTATTAATTAAGCATAAAAAAAAAACAATGCGCGATAGACTATAGCAAAAACAGTGTTTGTTCAGCCGAAACAAATGTAAGTACGCCATTCAATGCTATCTAGTCGACCAGAAAATTTACGCACTTAAGTATATGTATGTTTACAACGCATTTACATACCGTGTCTAACAATGTTTTAAAATATGCGTAGATATTTGATCTTTAGAGGTATGCTAAATTAAATGTGTGTTGATTTTTTTTTATGATTTAATGTTTTGACGTAACATTGTATAAGTTTGTACATACAAACTTACAAACATACAAATTTACAAATTTTACCTATAGAAGGTAATCTTTGGAACCACTGGTCGTTACATTTGTCATAGATTGTGTAAGGTCAAGACTAAGATGCTTGACCCATTTTCATCGAAGTCATTGTTTACAATGGAAAACTTTAATAGAATAAATACTAATCAATTTTGTATTTAAATAACGTGTTTTGTGTTATTATGCATAGATGTAAACAAAAACAAGGATTAGGTAAGATAGACCCTTATTAGAATGTTAATTTAATGATTGTGAAGTTTTATTGTGGAATCTCTCGATGAGTTTCTTATTTCTGTATAGGTCTACTTATATTTTACTGATTATAAAAACTGTAGAGGTATACAATGCCTACCTAACATGGCTGTGGTCCATGGACAATCAATACCTAATGTTCCGGGGCCCTGGCCTTTAGTAGGAGCCGGTTAAGAATGGACAATAAATAATCAGTAAGAGCCTGACACTCCGTCTTGTCCCACTACACCGTGAATGGTAATTAGGCGTGATATCCCCAAATTAAAAAAAAATGCCGACCTGGTATTACATTTTTTAGTAATGCACACAAATCTATTGTATATCATGGACACGTAAAGGAAGATGAAATCAAAGCGTTGGTTAAAAAGGTCGTTGATTTAAGATTTCAATAGCACCACGCGATTTATTTGTTTTCTGTCCCACTATTGGTTGGGTTACACTTCCAAGGCCATGGAGTATCTGTACCCACTGTACCAACCAAAGCTACGGTAACATCACTTCAAAATATGTTAGGAACATTTGTTTAAACAAAAATACGTTAGGTACAATAACTTCGTTAGTAAGTGACGTGCACGCTTTTCGATACAACGATAAACTTAATTAAAATGCGATTACAACCGGTTTTACTCTAATTTAGGTACTCATTGTTTGCATCATGTTTGTCCTGAAACATGGGACCGAACTTCGAAGTTATACCTACACACATACAAATATTAAAAAATACATATAGTATTAATGAATTATTTTATTGTGTCCTCATTGTTAATATTACGTTTTCTATCGATAAGTAAGATTAATATTGACACCACAGTCATAAGCTTTAAAAAATCTATTGATTGGCATTGTTAGGGTCAATAATGTAGAGAGCGATTCAAATTTTATAGGACCTGTCCTTATTATTCACATTATTAAGAAGTAGAGCGGTCAGAAATAACATATTAACAATAGGAAAATACTGTTACATTTGTGTAATTACCAATTAGGTAAGTACTCCACTAGCGTTTAGTCCTGTCCTGGCGCACTTATAAAAACTGAAGCAGTAGAAGAAAAGCTTGATTTCGATCTGAGCCAAAAGATGTCTGTCTATAACAAATCATCTTATTGTCTATATTGAACTAACATAAAGATGAAAGCAGAGAGATAATAAGTAAAGGTGGAGATAAAAGCTTCTTGTGAAGCGACAATGTAAACATAATATTAACAGAAACACACTTCTAGTCTTTTGATTAGGTAGGTATGAAATAAAAAAAGAAAATTTTATTTAAAGAATTGCTGTTCTAGAAACTCACATTTAAATAGCATAACCGAGTTGATTTCGATCGCAGACGGAATCGTACGACACAATGAAAACATGACGCATGCGTGGGTATATAACCTACCTACTTGATATATTTATTTATAACATTTTTTTTTCAACGGTTGACCTTGTGCAGACTTTTATATTATGTTTTTCGGCCAAAATATATGCTGAACTGGCTCAAGTGTTCTTTGCTGCGGTTTGTTTAAGATTCAAAATGTATCCAAATATTTAGTTACTCAATTTACTTAGGCCTTATGTACGGAAATACTGAGAATAGGCTTACGTTACAAGGAAGGCATTCTTCTAACTTCCGTTGCTTAACCGTATGGCAAGTCTGTATAGTTTTGGACCTTTTGAGGTCACCTTATCAACTTTTCTCGTATTAAGTACTTATAAGAATATTGTTTATTGGTTCTAACCTTTCCAACACTGATTTTGGATCAGAAGCAAAAACGAAACGACCGAGTGCTATTCATCGAATAATTCGGCGAACCATTTCGCCCAAATACAAACAATTGTGCCCTTATGAGCTAATTGTTTATAATATGGAGGATAATAACGGTGGAGGAATAACTTTTAATTAAATGATTTTCTAAAATCCCTAAACAGGACTTGGTAGACCAGTATGTAGCATAGTTAGGAGCTACTGAAACTATTATGGCGAAGCTTTGTAAGTTGAATTCAATTGTTATATTACCCAAAAGGTTCTTAAAAATATATTGCATTTTCTACACTAGTGGACTAACGTTTAGATTGAAATCGATATATTAGTTCTATTTGATTAACCTCGAAACCTACCAAGTTATCACATTAACATACACGTGAAAATACTTGGCCACAACAAAACATGTAGGTAAGTACTTAATAACTTGCTCCATTATCCGATATGGGCGTTCGTTGGTCGACCCGGCTGACACAACTACCTACTAGTGTAAATCATGACCATTGCGCACAGATAACAGTGATAAGGGCGGCCGTGGCGACCTCTGGAAACGTTACTTGCCAGTTTACAAGCAAAACATTGAAGCTTCTGGCGCCTTTATTATCTGTGGCAATATTTTGAACCACATTGACTAGTATAATGTCGATATTTCAAAATATTCGTGCTACATAACGATAGAAGGATAAATTGAAATCAGTAGCTTTATTTTTTTGGCAAAATTAAGGCCTCTTATATTTGTGTAGCTTCATGATAAGTGTGACCTTGAAATGTACTGATTACAGCCATGTAACATTATGCCAATTTTTCCCTAAAATACTATAACTATATATACAGAATTGGTTTGAATGCCCATTAAAATGACTCATCGGAACGGCCAAACATTTTAACGTACTTACACCAAATCTAATCTTCCAAACTAATATTATAAATGCAAAAGGAACTCTGTCTGTCTTTTTTTCGCGCCTAAACTACTAAATCTATTTGTGTGAAAATTGGTACAGACATATGTAGTTTGGAACTCGAGAAAGGACATAGGATAGTTATTTCACCAAAAACTTTGTTACTATGCCACGCGAACAATGACGCGGGAAAAAGCTAGTTACAAATAAATGCGATAGCAGTTTGTCAAAAATATTACCTAAACGCTAGATTAATTCGATGATCTATTAAATTCAATGACCATCTACAAAGTCTATATATCGGCTGTATCTACTCTACATGGTACAATCACGGACTTAAGATGTGTCATTCATGTTATAT